TATACTCATCCAGTTAAGTAAATTATCTGATATGCCACAAGAGGTCAGGATGTCATACTGCATTGAAAACTCTAGAAATTATAAGGATTAATGCTCCATTACTCAACTTCAAATCATGGAAGGGAGTATTACAAGTTAAAGAAATTATTTTGAGGTCAAGTTACCATCAAATAACAAGCTGTCACTAAAATATTATGTGAAAATTATGAAGATGACCTTACCTACTAAAGATCATCTCCCTATCGGAAAATTAGATGGAGACGGAATTGAGAAGTGAACGAATAATGATAAATTAACCAGGATTGAAGTTGAAATCAATAATTCAATAACGAAAACACAAGTTGCTGGGAACACTCAGCAGGTTTGGCAGCATCTATGGAGAAAGGAAAGTGAGTCAAGGTTTCGGGTCCACTACCCTTCGTCAGAACTGATAACTCTAACTTAAATTATTAATAACTTATCAATAATTCAATGTTGACTGCAATTATAGCCACCGGTCTTTACATCAAAGTTACCAACATTCACCTCTTAGTATGGTAATCTAACATTTCAGTAATTTTGGATAATGCACAGAAGTGCGTCAGCCTGGTTCAGTTGGTAGCACTTTCGCCTCGAGTCAGAATGTTGTAGGTTCAAGCCCTACGTCGAGGACTTTGAACTCATATAGTCTAGGCTGGCACTGGAATTCAGTGCTGGAGTTCACAGCATTGTTGGAGGTGCCATCTTTTGGATGAGATGATAAACAAAGGTCTTGTCTACCTGTTCAGGTGGATATTAAAGATTCTGTGGCACTACTCAAAAAGAGAGGGCAGGTTCTCAGTGTCCTGACCAACAATCCCCCAGATAAAATTGGTCTTTCACTCCATTGCTCGTTCACTCCATTGCTGTTTGTGGGACATTACTGTGCAATAAACTGCTTGCTGTATTTGCTCACAAAACATGAATTCACTGTACTTTACAATAAATGCTGTGAAACGCTTTGAGACGTTCTTCTGACATGAAAAGTCGAATACCAGATGTAAGAATTAGTATTATGCAGAATTATCTTCAATCTTCAGACTCGGACTCAAAAGTAACGTCTTTTTTCTTTGGGTAGGCCGGGTGTCTGACACATGCAGAAACCCATCACCATGATTAAGAGTATCCAAACCAAGCTGAGAATTCCATGTATCCCACCTACACATGGAAATCCCAGATAGATTATTGGAATGGAATGCACTTTCTCTCCCTGGAGGGAGGCATCTTGCTTACCTAATTTCCGGTAAGTATTTGGCACAGGTCTGCTGGAGTCTGACCAGCTAAAAACAGTTTGCCATTGATATTGCTGTCTGGCAAGCTTTCCCACTGTTTGTCATGCTAGGACCACCCTACCTGTTACGGCTTTGCTTACAGGGTTAACAGGAGCTGAATGGGATGACTCCCTGACTGGTGACTGGTCTACCCTTTCAAGTCCTGCCGATGAGCCAGGCTGGCTGTGCTGTCATCAGCAGTGCCCTGGAATATTGCAGACTTGCCTGGCTCAGGACCAGGACCACAGAGGGCTGGCTCGATTCCAACATTCAGCCATTGTGCAAAACAAGGTTGAAAATATCAAGGGAACTGCTTTGTTATTTACTGAAAAATGGGTGTTAACTATAAACCAGTTTGTCTTACTTCAGTATTAAGCATGTCGCTTGAAACCACAAGAGATAGTAGTGAACAGAGGAAGTAGTTTTAGAAATCCGTAGATTTTAGGAGGAAAATTTAATAAGCAAAATGTTCCAGTTTTCGAGACATGAAGAAAAATCAATTCTAATAGTGAGATTTCATTTCAAATATAATAACAACAATTTTCATTTATATATTGCCTTTCACATTTGGAGGACACAGCTGACTGGGAGTCTATGTTGAGAGTGGGGGGGTTTAGAATTGAAATCCCTAGGAAAAGACAGTACCTTTCATTTTTAAAAGAAACTATCATATAAAAAGCATTTATTTAAAAGTAATTGTTTATATTTACTAAGATTGAGAATCAATAAATATTCTGCATTTCTAGAATTCCTTAATCCTACTTTGCAATATTAATTTGAAGTGCACAAATGTATTTTTGCAGGTGGATAATAATAACATCCATTTTAAAGGATCCATTTTAAAAGGTAAAACATTCCTTTAGCACTCAAAATTAGAGTACAATTCAATGTCCAGTTCCTCTCCCATCTTTTCTAAGCTTCATATTATTATGGCTAATGAGGTTGGACTGTGGGTTTGGCTCAAATAAAGTCAGTTTTGAATATACCTTAAAAATCCTGACTCGCTCACCTCTGTTTAATAGTTACTGCAAAATGTAATCCAATGGAGTTGAAGACAATGTGTGGGGTATAAAAGATATTACAGTATTCAACTATGTTGAAATACAAATACACTGTAAACGTATGCCAGTTAGAAACACATCATTTATTCATCGGATCCTTACAGAGGGTCTTTCGAGAACATAAAAATTAAACATGCACACAAGGGAAAGTTGTTAAATACAACTAGTTTTCTTCACAAACTCAGTAAAGAAAACAATATTTTACATCCAAGTTTGATATTTTAATTAATAAGCAACAAGTAAACATCTGGTGTACAACTCTTATACAATTCAAAAAATGTTTGTGAAAAAAATAGGGCAGTTTATTGTATTTGCTAATACAGTACCTCATAAATCTGGTAGAAGTAATGCCCATTGCATGGGCATGCACTTATGTGGGGTACATATTTCCAACAACTGCATTTAAAACATCATTTATAGGGAGAGCTCCAGAACTTGCCAATAGCAAGGCAATATTCCAACATAAAATTTCTATGTCTATCATGGCTGCACATTTTATAACTAAAAAGAAGTATGTTGAATTAAATAAGAATCTTTAAATGTACAGTAACCAATTCATATTTTCTTTTTGTTTATTTCCAGCATGCGCTGCAGTGTCTTAAATCTGATGTCTCTGGACAAACTGTGAAAACTGTACTGTAAAAGCAAACCATCGAAATGTTTTAAATCAATGTCCAGAAAACAAAACGCACAAACTAAAAATACTGATAAACGTCACAGAAAGTAAGCAACTGACCGGACACAAAAGTAAAATAAATGACTCAAGCAGTTTTTGAAAGCAATAGCGAAATTACTGAACAATAAAATGAAGGATGGGAGAACAAAAACAAATGAAAATGTCGAGACCCACACAAATAATAGTCAACCAACCTTTACAATTCTATTCTAACATACTACATAAGCAGTATTATATTTTCTAGGAATGCCAATGCATTCTGCATCTTTGTAGCAAATAACCCTTCAGTTTACAGTATTTTTAAACAAAGCGTTAACAAGAACAAATGTAAAGAATTCCCAAAAATCTCTAGCCAACTTCAGTTACACAAACATTCTTTATAAATAATAAAATACAGAAACTGTATATAAAATCCACCAATATATAGTAATGTAAAAAATCCCTTAACCACTTACTGTAAGCAAACTAAAGTTTATCTTTAGATGTTACGAACTGTGCATTTAAATGAGAAAATAAACTAGGTTTAAAGTTATTGCACACCTAAATAAAAGCAAACAACCCATCAAAGCATTCTCAGAAAAGTTGTGTAACAATACATTTTATTAAGCTTAATGGACCCATTTAAGACCATCAAAAATTGTCTATGAGAGCCTTTAAGTGTTCTCTGGCCCTCATTCATTCCAAAATTGCAAGTTTAAAAAAAATCCTTTCAAGTTGGAGACTTAGTATTTACTTCAATTACTCAAGTCAGAAAGCGAAGCAAGTTTGATTTTTGATAGTTTGAGAGTCAAAACAAATTTTCTCTCTACAATGATCAATGTTACACAACTTTAAATTCACCATGATAGCCAAAGCTATGAAAAAAATAATCTTTAGCATAACACCATTGTAGGCATTGAACCATTGTAAGCAGCTAACAGATAACCATATTCTGTCTTCATTTACCACCTGAAAGCAAATTCAGTGAGTTTATTCTCAACTTCTCACTTTGATAGCTAATAATTTATTTGTAAAACGTGTGGCCTGATCTTTATATTCCTATCCTCACTTGCCACAGGATTCAGTGCCCATAAAACACTGTAAAAAATAGAGAATATAATTTGAAGGTGGGGGTGCAATATTTCTAACAAAACAAAAATAAATACATGACCCGTGGTAACCAATCATCACATCAACAAAGGAGACCAGTTGAAAAACATGGTGTTGAATAATAAAGTGTAGTGAATCTAAAAGTTCTAGTAGCACCATCCTGATATTCAATTTTAGTGCACGTTTACTGAGATAAATTTGTGCCAGCCCTGATTTGACAGAATACTTTTCAAAGTCTATTAACACACACAGCTCAGCCTGTTACTCAGCTAATAATAGCTTGTTCATAGTTTTAGGGGGTCCTTCAAATTCTGCAGCTTCTAAAGTACTTTTTTTGAATTTCATGTTTCCTTTTATATAAACCACCACATCAGAGAAACATCCCTGATCCTTGCTTTGCTTCTGACCCCAGCACACAAGAAACGTACAGGGTCTTGAACTCTTTATTCTACTTTAAACTGCTGCTTGAAGATTTTCACATAGCAAAAAAGGCCTTAACTAGTTTTCTGAAGCATAAATTTCAACTTTGCTTTTGTAAATCAGCAACCTGCAATATTGCTCTTCATTACACCCCTATCTTTAAGGTAACAAATCTCCAAAAGATAAAATGTAAAGGTAGCCGGAGAAGCCAATGTGATTCACTGCAAGAGATTTCTCATTTACAGCAAACATTTTCAAGTACTTAATAGCCTTGTAGCTGCTCATTTCTTCATATGCATTATTATTTATAATGATGTGTACTAATGGTAAACTTATTATTTTTAAAATGTTCAGATTAAATCTTTGAAGCAAATCTTAGTTTATTTAGCTACTATTCTTAAGCAGCTAATTTGTGTCTTTCTCTGACTTTTAATTTAACTTTTACTACATTTTAAGATAATTTGGTGGTGGAATATTCATCTAAAATAAAAACATTAAATTTAATTTCTCCATGATATAGAATATTTACATCCTCACACAGAAAGATTCAATGTAACAGTGAACAGAACTATTATTTATTTTATTTTAGGAGACTTCAGAAACTATGTGCATATTTAGTGCTCTGTTTTGGAGTAAGTTGAATATGAACATTTTAACCCCAAAAGAAAAGTAGCATTCCCGTGGTTCAATTAAAGCACAGAAAGATTCAACGTAACAGTGAACAGAACTAATATTTATTTTATTTTAGGAGACTTCAGAAACTATGTGCATATTTAGTGCTCTGTTTTGGAGTAAGTTGAATGTGAACATTTTAACCCCAAAAGAAAAGTAGCATTCCCGCATTTCAATTAACTTTCCTTCATTCATCTAGTCCCAATTTTTTATAAAACTAAAGGTTGCTAAAAATCTAAATACGTACATTTGACGAAAGCTGAGTTTCTAGAAACTATGTTTCAATAAATATATTTATAAAGTGAGGCCAAGAGGGCAACCTGATAGATAACAACCTTACGTATTAGAGTAAATCGGGTACAAAAAGAATGCTTCCAAGTTCGTTTTTAGGTGGATAGTAATTAATTTTGTAAACATATTATTTTTCTCCTGCTCTCGTTTGATCTCTTCAATCTCGTTAATCAAGCAGGCAGTGAACAATTTTAATGTTAGAAAAATTGTTCAAATGACCATCTCGTCTACATTACAAAATGGTTTGTTTGATTGAGAAGTGAAGTCACTCATCACTATAAAAACCATGTCCCTCTCTACTCCATTGTATTTTCTGTAGTAATACATATGTATTTTGAGAGTGAATACTTCCGTACGATAGCAGCACTGCAGATTATTGCATCTCAAATAATGGTTACACCATCTTACAAGGCAATAATCTCATCGAGGAGTTCAGATGAAGTCATAAACACACAATATTACTGGTTCCAAAAAGTCTCAAACTTTCATGTAGTTTTCATGAGAACACTGTGGAGTAGTTTTGGGGTATTTATTTCAGTTTTACACTTTTTTTTGCCAATAGCAATTATAATCACCATCAACAGCCAGTACACTTCTTTCATGTGACATGTAGTGCTGTCTTCATGTGACATGTGGGACGTCCTCCCGACGTGAAAGGCGCTATACAAATGTAATCTAGTTGTTGTTGTTGTCTTCATTCAAGGATTAATGGTTATGCTGTAACTACTAGAAATGTATTAATTGGTATTCTGCAGCTAATTACCTGAAAGCAACGCAGGGAGCATGATATAACCACTGACCTTCCATGTGCACTCACTGTAGGTAAGGGATATATTATCTTTAGGTTACCAGAACTTAAAACTTTTTCACTTGCTATTTGTTGACACGTTAAAATAACTCTTAGTAGATCTTTGGCAAGACCTTCAGTTCAGTAAGAAATTGGACATGTTCACTGGGGTTTAAATTAAGAGTATAAACATGCACAATTCCTCATAGATTTCCAAAAATTAGATATGTACAGTCATCTATCTCTCTTCTTTTCAGGTTATGTTAACACTTTCTCTTTCCCCCCTACTGTTCCCCTTTCTTTTGCCTACCTGAACACATGTTCCTCGCAAAAAGATTTTCCTGATTTGATTTTTCTTGTTGTTAGATGCAGTTAATTAGAAGAAATGGAACACAAACTTTGTCTATCACTATGGGACACCTTAAGACTAAAGATGATGGTAAAGAAATGGCGAATTCAAACAAAATATGTTTTCGGAACATATCAGCCCAAAGGTGATTACTCTTAATCACAACTAAGATCAGAAGAATTAGCCTAATCTACTTTGCCTCATAGTTTGTGTTTCAGGATATATGCATTTAATATATCCTGGGAAACAGTATTCAGTATAGAGGAAGGAATTGAGAGACAGGGGAAAAGCAGCTGATTTGTTTTTGATAAGGAGATAACTGGGAATTATTTTCTACAACCTTCCCCATTTTTTCCAACTTGTATAAGCTGCAAATATGCAGACCCTTCTTTTAAAATTGTCAAAAAACATGAGTGGTTATTAAATTTTTTTAAAAAAAATTATTCATTGTTGAGAGGAAAAATCAAGTTCCTTAACCATAATAACAAAACATAAAATTTTAAATAAATTACTTTATGTAATACCTCATATTACTCTGCCTTCCCAAATATTTTTTTCAGTGTCTGAATAACCATCAGCAAGTTATTTTTCAAAATTAAATTTTAAATCTTTATCGGCTTTGAATGCATTCTACTTTAATCACCTTTTAATGTCTTCCTAAGTCCATACATAGCAAATATCATAGCTCGCATCATTAAGTCCCCACCCTGCACCATTCTCTAAACCATGCCTCCCCCAAACAAACTATGCAACAAAACCAGAAAAGGAATGTGGCCTAATGTTGTGTACCATGAAAACATAGGTTCATTTAGTTCTGTCTACTTGACACACCCAATATTGGCAGACTTAATGTAAAAAAAATCTGATATTATGGATATATATGCATTCAACCCATCACAAGAAATAGTTATACTCAACAACTTCAACAAAAGTATAACAAATGAAGACAAACTGGCCCATTCAGTGATGTTGTTTTTTTATAACTACCACTAAAATTGGTGTCTTAACACACGAAAAATTAAATCCAAAGCGATGATTAAAACATACTGCTTTACAAACACTGTTTTGAAGACCTTAGTCTTGTAGTCTTTACCTTACACGTTCCTCAAACTGTGTTCCAGTGTTCAACAGGATCTATATAACCTAACTAGCTATCAAGAACATGTCCAAGAGTCACCATTCCATTATGGTGCCGAGAATCTAGTGTATTATTCAAGTATTATTAGTGTTATCAAAACTGAACAGAAAACAAGTTTCTGTGAAAAAACAACACAAAAACACTAATATAAGGCAGTCTAGTCAACGGGTAAACTTATTCTACAGGGTTATTCGGTTAGCAAGGAACTGCACGTTTGCCGCTGTAAATTACTGCAGTGCAGCAAGCTGTCTCTCTGAACTGCAATTATCCTAGCATGCATCCAAGAGGCATGCTCTTTGCCCTTCTTATTACTTCCACTCTAAACAGGTGAACTGTGATCCTCTGAAGTGAAAGGCAGCACTGTATAGCTGCCCAGGCCAATTCAGTCACAGTGCACTTCATGTGCATTCCTGGCATTGTTTGCTCCTCATATCCAGAAAGCACTTTGGTTCTTCACCTTTATTTCAGTCGCTGTGTAACATTTGCCAAAGCAACAGCAAAGGCCTGCACTGCAGAGAAAGGATATTGAAAATCCAGAATGTATGCATTTCCATCAATCCTCCCAAACTGCATCACCTAAAAATGAAAAATCAAAGAATTATAATTCAAATATTGTTTGATCCAAAGTTATTTGAAGCATACGGATCAAAGTTCCCAAAATACACCTGCTCGGGTCATGACCCAACTGTGCAGCGCCTTGGGACGTCCTCCTGACGTGAAAGGCGCTCTATAAATGGAATCTTGTTGTTGTTGTTGTTGTTGTTTAAAGGGACTGTTTTAAAGTCTAACATGCAATTTAGACTGCACAAAGGGACAATACAAATACAGCAAGGTTGCTAAACAGTTGCAAATTCATGATAAAAGCAAAGAGTAGTCACTTGATATTCAGACATATACAGTTCCCGCTACCATTATTTAGGCAGCAATCCAATTCAAACAACTCGATATCACAGCGATAAGTAATGATGCCAAGACATCTGCGTATGCCTGTAATGTCATTTGCCACCTTCTCCCCTCCCCCCTCAGTCTCCCCTCCCTCACTCCGCCCATCTCTACTCCTCCCTGGCATGAGGATTGATTCTCTCTTGTCCATGTTCAGCTGCAAAAGTTGGCGCTCATCGAGGCCTTGATGTCAGACAGGCAGGCAGTCAGAACATCAGACTCGGGTCATGACTAAAGGAGGAAAAATAGATTTGGGTATCATCCACGTACATATGAACATCGACTCCATTTCTGTGGATGAGATAACCAAGAGGGAGCATGCAAATGAGAAAAGGAGAGGCACGAGAATAGAGCCTGGTGGTACACTACATATAATTTTGTGGGGGCGGGAGAAAAAACTATTAGAGGAGACAAAATAGAGGTGGTGGGTTAAGTAGAACTTGAACCAGGAGAGGGCAGTTTACTGAGGTGAATGAGGGAGGAGAGGCAGTCGAGGAGGATAACACAGTCCACTGTGTCAAAAGCAGCGTTGAGGTCTAGGAGGATAGTGAGGCAGAGGGAGCCCAGCCTGGTCATAGAAGCAGGAGCAGTAAGGACATAATTACTAAACATACAAACCATGAAAATCAAGAGTTAGTAGCAATTATTTTCCATATGTGATTATGTTTACCATACTTTGTTAGATGCATATATTATGAAAAAATTCCATAAATATTTGTACCCCACCAAGTTCAGAAATTTTAAGCACAAGTGAATTTTAGCCACAGAAATGTAAAATTATTGTTGTAAAAATGCTCATCATATGGGAGGTTTTAAGTAGACAGTCAATTTAGTCAATTAGAAGATTCATGATAAAACTACCTAATCATTCAAAAGTTAAAGTAGAAAGATAGAACTTTAAATTACACCCTTTTCAAAAAAAAAAGCAATTAAAATAATGTAACAAATTTTATCATTCATTTGGTTTATTTCAGTCTATATCATTTGGACTGAGATTAGTTCCATTCATCATAAATATTTGAAGGCCCTCAAAAGATTGCTCGCCCACAAAATATACAGTCAATTAACTGTACAATATATTCTGTGAAGCGCTTGGAGACGTCTCGAAGACATGAGAAGGCGCTACATCAAATGCAAAGATTATTTATTATTAAAAGATGTTTTCTACATATATATTAATCTGAGAATGGGAATATACCTACATGCAATGTGACTTCTATGGCTATATCACTCATAAAAACTTACAAATCCACATTCAGTATCAATCTTATCTGCATGTGTATAAATACTGTATGCACATATTTAATACTTTACAATACCTGTCGCCCTTCCAATTCAATCTGGAAATTTTTTGCCGACTCCTGTGTTACTCTTCCTCCAAAATCCAACTGATACACTTGTGTTGCCTCATTCCATAGGGGTTGCTTGTTAGCCATTACATACACAAACCCTTGATTTCCCAACTTTCCATCCTCTTTGTCATTCGCTCGTCGACATTTCATCTCATCATTTTCATTTGCTGTCCTTAGGTTTCTTTTAGTTTTCCAAACTTTTTTGGTGCTCTGGCTCTGATTCATCAGCTCGTCTCCACTAATAAATAATTCTGGCTCACTCTCCGAACTGTCTTGAAACTCACTCATCTTGTTCAGTTTTTTTGATTTTACCTGATCCTTTTGGCTTTTAATTTTTTTCTTTTCTCTTCCTAATCTGGGGCTGGAAATGAGAGAGTTGAAGTCTGTAAGGGCTTTTGTCTCCTTTTTGATCTTCCCCTCAGTGACGGCTTGCATGTTACCCTCTTCTGGTCTGCTGTCTAATCGTTTACGGCTTTTCTTGCTGAATTTATCAGTTCGCTGGGGTATAGGGCTCTCTGTCAAAGAGAGAACCTCTTGGAAGTTCTCTGCTGTTTCCACAATCACTTCAGTTCCTGTGTGATCCTGAAGCTCTGGTGGATTTGGAGGCATCCCAGTCTTTTCAACAAAGTGTGGTTTTGAGCTCAATGTTCCCTGTGAGCCATGCATTGGAGAACATGCACTATAAGCATTCCATTGGTGCAATGTAATCTGGGGAAGTTGTAAACTTGAACATGTGCTACTGCTTGGATACATTGGTGGCAATGGACAGCAAGTGATATTTGCAGGATACCCAGCTTGGAGTACCACAGCAGGGTCCTGTTGTGGATATGGTGGTGGACCTATAACTTCTGGAAGAGGAAATTGAGCTTGTAAACCAGCAACAGAAGGTCCACCGTAACTCATCGGATAAGGTAAACCTAGCCCATAGTTTGACTGGAAATTAGCTGTCGGACTAGTAGGAGATTTCATAGGAAGAAATGGCATACGAGACATTTCCACATGTTGTGACTGTTCAAGGATAAGAGGCGGTGGTTTATGACTCCCCGTTATAGAAATATGAGCTGGTCTTTCCTGTGGAATCCAAATCTCCTCACTTCCTGTAGGGTCCCATTGATATGGAGGTGGCCGTTTCACATTAATGTTAATTTCATTACTTAAAGCAACATGTCTGACTGATTTCTCAATCTGGCAGTGTTGTAAAACAGCCTCATCCTCGGTGAAACCAGAGTTGATGTATTCAGTCCTGTCATGACAGCTGTCAGGTGGGCTCAGCAGATTATAAGAAGACTGAGAGGAGAGTGGCGAGGTACTAGCTGAATGGACAATGACAGTGCTATGCTGAGAGCTAGTTGCAGTTGCTAATTCAGATCTCATACTAATGTTAATGTTGTTTCCATTGCTGATACACTGACTGCAGGTATAGAGTGCAGGAGGAGATCTGAGAGAGGTTTGCTGGTACTGTGCAGATACTGGATTGTGTTTGGGTTTGTGACCATGCTGAACATTAACTCTTTGGGAGTCCAAAAGTTGAGCCAACTTCGCTGTGGAATCCCTGCTATCTCTTCGCAATGGTACTTGGATAGAGTTAATGTCAGTACGTTGACTTAGAGTTCTATTAGTTGCATCTGGATAAGGTGGAGGATCCCCACTTGGAATAACACAGTGAGCAACATTTAGTCTACTCAGTGTACCATATGCCTGTTGAACCTTCTTAACATCCGCTGAAGGCAACCGTAACAACGTTTGTGATTGCCCTGGACCTGGAAGTGTATACATATTTGGGCTACTCATCATTCTCATACGGGGCCTGCACACTTCCTCTACATTTCCACTGCTGTCAAATGTTGTAATTCTTTCATAACCCAATGGGGTTTGAAAGTGTCCAGCAGGAAAAAGGGAGAAATCTGATTTTTTCAGACAAATATCTACTGGTGTAGCAGGAGCAGATGTGGCTGCAGAAGTTGTTACTGCTGTAGTCCCTGGGTATGGAGGAGGTGGATGTCCACTTAATTTAGTCAACTGCACTTCAGGAGTTGTACAGAAAACTACTGCATCCCCTTCAGCCAACTGTGGCACTGGCCGTAAAGGTTTGATTTTTTGAGGGTGTTCAGTGTCCCTTTCAACATGCTCCACAGGCAAATGGACAATTTGGATCTGCTGTGATGGCTGCTGTGATCCACTAGTCATACGTCCAGGTTCCACACTGCCAAAAATAACCTGTCCTGGATTAGAATACCTGCTGGGGGCTGCATATTGGCCGGCACCATCTCCACTGTGCTCCACAACTCCCACAACAGCTGTTTGATTAGTCAAAACATCAAGCTGGACATTTTGATTGGCAAGCAAAGACTGGACAAGCCCAATGCTCTGAGTGGGAGACATTGCTTGAGCAGAGCTGTGAATTGGTGCAATAGGAATATTAACAGTGCAAGGAGGGTTGTTTTCAGGAGCCCCAGATGGACCTGTTACTGTGGGGGGGGGAGAGAAAAAAAAGTCCTTAAAAACAAACACACAAAAACAAGGATTACAATTTTCACACAAAAAAAATTAAGTGAAACTTCGATCTTGAGTTCACTTTTGTAAAAAATGTTTCAAAGTTTAAAACAAACCTTGGACATATTTCTAGACTAAAATAGGATTAAAATATCATTGAATATTGAAAAGACAACACGTTGCACTTAAGCACTTAACCACAACAACAAAAGTCAATTTGTATGGCATTTTTCACTTTGGGAGGACATCCCAATAGTGGCGGAGCCTGACTCCAAGCCGGGGGGGGTGGGCGGGGGAGTGACAGTAAGCACGGTCAAAAGGAAGGTTTTCAGGCAGGACTTGAAATAGGAGAGAGAAGGAGCAAGGCGAAGAGATTGAGGGAGAGTGTCAAACCTGCATTTAAATTTAACAAACTGGGCTGACAAACATTTCTAATTGTACTACTATATTATCACACAGATCCCGCCGATGTTTGTATCAATGAGTCGATCTGACTAAACAAGCATGTGTGGCAGTGTTCAAAATTGCAAGTGTTATATGTAGAATTAAGTAAGAGTTGTTCAAACATTAGACCCTTAAAGCATTCTATTTATAATTTTGATAATTTATCTTGATCACGAGGCACCTGGATGTGAGGTGTAGAAGGACATCAACGCTTATGGAAAAAAGTGCAAGTTGATCAGAGTCTCAATCAGATAACAGTGCGTGAAGGAAAGTATAATAAATAATAATCCTTGCATTTGATATAGCATCTTATCATGTCTTCGAGACGTCTCAAATTGCTTCACAGAATATACTGTAGAGTGAAGTGACTGTATATTTTGTGAGCGAAACAAAGAATAAAGCGCGCACAAGATATATTGAAGCAAAGATGACCGTAAAATGTTAGTGTGAGAAAGGATAGCAATCAGAAAGAAGTCTTAGACTTGGAGGTAGAAAGAAAGGATTGACGGACATTTTAAATAAATCCAAGTTTATTGACTTTTCCTTTAATTTTCTCCCCTGACAGATTGGTGGTATCGGTTTTATAACTAGTGTTTAACAACTTTCATCTGTTCTATTATGACCTGTGAAAACTGTGAACAAATGTGTTGTGTGGGAACTGTGACGGATCACACTAACCTATCATGTGTTTCGTGTTACAATTTGCAGTGTAAATATTGATTCTGTTATGGTTACAGTCCCTGATTGATTCTAACTGCAGGAAAAGCTGTGGCGCGGTGGAATACTTGAAGCGATATTGCGCAGCAGTTTTGCTTTCAGTCCCGAGACCATATAAATATATATGGATTGGTTGCTGTGAATTGCAGGAAAGACTTGAATCGAGCGGGAATTGAGAATTAGAGTGGGTCAAAACTAGATGGAATCTTGGTGTCAATAAGGCAGGAACCGTCTAAGTAAAATCGATACAAAAAGCAAGGGGAAGACATGTGATTCCGGCCAGGGCTTTGTCTAACGATACATTAAGCAGACAGTTGGGAGTCTGAAGTCTTTTTGGTGTGGAAAAAGCCAAAAGAGGGAGGGGACTAAAGGGGTATAAATTAGGTGGATTGGAAGGGATCAAGGTTGCTGATTCTTTTTGGTCATTTCCATCTGCTGACATCGAGATTAAAGTGTATGCTTGACTTGGGAAGTAACTCCCAGTTAAGATTGGTTTCTTTTAATTATTATTTTGGGAATTGCTGCTAGTCTTGAGTATAGAGTTACAATAACAATTTGCATTTATATAGTGCCCTTCACACAGGATAGCGTCCCAGAGCGTGTTATATTAGTTCTTAGATAGAAATTTTTACTGTTGAATTTTGCAACAGTTTATTTATGTTATCGCGATTGAGTTAAGCCAGGGCAAGGGCATTAATGAAAACTACTTCTGAATTTCTATAAAGTCTGCTCGAGTTCTGCTACAATAAAACACAGAGAATAAATAGTATCGGCGTTAGTACCATGAACCCACCTGAAGTACGAAACACTCTGAGTTGGGGTCTCAATTGATGTAAAATGAATCAATTGAAGTGACACGCCTACTATTAGTGTTGGTCAATTGACTAAACAAATACGGCTCCATTAGGAACTATGAAAGAGGAAATATTGTGACAGAGCCCACTTAGCAATAAGTGACACAAATCATTATAGAACCTAGAAGTGGTCTTTAGCTACATCCACAATACATTAGCTCTGTGTAAAAAGGTTCACTGGTGCTAGCACACTGCTTAGACATTACTTTACAATAGCTTGCTATAGATTGTTTGAAATTACAATTGTTAAAATGGATGATGGTGCATCAGATCAATGTCTCAATGATTCATACATCATATAAGGCAAAATAATCACCCAAAAAGGCAATTTCATTTAGATAGATAGACAGACAGACAGATAATCTAGACAATTTAATTTAGCCCCATTGTGTGTGTGCATGTCAAGAGCTTTTAAATTGGACTTCTTGCGACAATAAAGACTTAAATTCTATAAATAGAATGCTTCATTGCAAGTTATCACTTTTCTTCCAAATCTTGAAAGTTTCTCAAGAGAAAACAGTTTTATGTGTTTTTATGGAAATCGCTCCTTTTAATAAAATTATTATAGGCAAATCATTCCCTTCATTCAAATTAGGATTTTAGGGTACATACGATGGCTAGATTATCCACTTCAGATCACCGTTATCCTCCTCCATGTATAAATGAATTGACCCCTTATCTTAACAGAAAAAATCTAGGGATATGACTCTTTGTACAGTAGTTTTAATGAATGTATACTTAATAAGGTGTGAAGAGTGTACACCGAGATATTCACTTTCCTATTTCAGCCATCCAATGCCAGCATCAAGCATTCCTAGGTCAGTTGTCTTTTAAGTAGGTAGACAATTTTGCATAGTGGGCAAATCCACAACAAGAAATGCGTAAGATTTGCCAAACATACATGATGCAAGCCAATAAATTTACAGTTATATAGTACCTTACATGTAGGAGAACATCTCAACATGCTTTACAAGTCTGAGCTTGGACGGAGCTAGTGAGAAAGTGGCTGAAGGCACAGTCGAAGATAATTTTAGGTGGGTTTTGAAATCAGCTGGGGAAGGGGAGCAAAGTTGAGATTTCAGAAGAATCCTAAAGAGTGGGGACTTGTATATCAATGTTGGGGGTGCGCAGGGGAGTAAGATCACAAGAGATTGTAGAGGTGGAGCGTGTGCATGATGGAACTAGGAAGACCGATGAGGAGTCGAGTCTGGATGCAAGGAAAACCTGAATGAGGGTTTTGGTGGTCTTTTGTGTGAAACGGAGAGAGGGGGGCAATATGGGGAAAGTGAAAAAAGTGATCTTGTGCAGAAATTGAACATTATTAAGAAATGACAGTGGAGACTGAACTGAAAAAAAACAAGGTTATGGATTACTCGATGGGTTTGAAAGGCCAGGGAGGTTGAGGAGGCCTCAATGTCCAACAGAGAGCCAACATACCGCTAAAAGATCTGGAATCAAGGGTTGAGATGTCCTCCCAATGTGAAGGCCCTATATAAATGTAAATTGTATTGTCTTGTCCAAAGTAAAAAAGCAAATCTAGGTATCATAAGTTAACCAGAAAAGCTGAATGGTCTAATGCAGGTCCATAAAAGCATTACCAAAATGGACAGGGAACAAATTATGCTGATTATATACTTTAGTTCTTTACATCAACTTATTTTGCAAACATATTATGAACCAGAGTCCAAGCTCACCTGCTAGATCATCTTCATCTTCACTGAAAACATTAGGGTTGAATATAGACATGTTGATGAAGTCCATTGAAAGTTTGCGTACCTCTGGTAGGTAAATAGTCATTTGCCTGGGCTGAAGATGGAGCAAGCTGGTTTTATAAATTACTGAAAATGATAAGATGAGGATCATTATTTATAATCTGCACTAGTAACATCCTGGAAAACAACACTGAGGCTATAGCCAACAATTAAGTAGGTGTTATGTTGCAGGAGGCAATAAATACCAAACCAGGAAGCAAAAGTAAATGCTTTTTAAAGGATACTACACACAAAAAATGCAACATACATCATTAACCAAACAAATTCCATCAATTGAAAGAAATTGTGATTTATACCATTGGGAATGTCACGGAGACCTTGTTCTGAGATTGAACTGAGCATCATTCCAGGAAAGCCTAACATGATTTAAATATGAATGATTTTTTAAAAAAAATACAAATGTGGAGCAAATTCTGAATCCACATATATTACATTTGAATAATTTATTATTTAAAAAAATACTTGTGAAAACTCAATGCTCCCAGACACATAAAAATCTCAAGGTCTAAACAGAAACACATTTTTAGCTTTAAAACAAGTAAGTAGCTGAGTATCCTTGGAGTATTGGAAAAGGGATGACCTAACAGTCTCTGCAGGTTTACACGATTGAGAGAAAGTACCGAAGAGCAAGACAACATTATTATTCTGAATCTGCAGCTCAGTTAATGAATGAACCATTTCAAGCTTTATTCTCATTACTGTCATCATCAGAAAGACAAAACTAGATTGTCTTGTGATGAACTGTCAGTCATCCAGCAATCCTAACGTGAAGAATGTAATGCAAATTGAAATCAATTATCCTTATTTATGCCACTATGATTAAGACAACAAAGCCCCATATAAATGATGTTGAATATTTTAGACTTGATGAAATTGCACTAGAGTGGAATGATTTGAGTGGATTAATTCCATAAAAATATTCACATAGGACATTAGAAGTTTGACCCACCTTGCTACTAGAGTAAAGATATTTTAAGATGAGACATTGTGAATGTCATGGAAGTGAGAATTTTTTNAAAATCCATTTCAATTGTATACATTAACCCACTAATACATGGGATAGTAGAGATAATGGAAATTCCTGAATTCATACCTGCACCAAGATTATTTGGTAGAAATGAAGCCAGACCCACAATCTTGAACTTTGTCCCCCAGATATTAGAAGTAACCTGAGCAAGATAGTTGTGCTGAAACAGAACACATTTGCTTAGTTATAAAATATTATTTTAAGATATAATGTACTTTACTAGTTTATTTCACACTAATGCAGCACAAAGTTTTTGTTTTCTTTTGGTCTGAAATATGTGGAAAACGATCACCATGCTTACGAGTATCCAAGCCAAACAAAATTACACATACATACTTCACCTACGCACAGAAATTTCTCTGGTGTCTGAAATAGATTGCACACTTTCTCCCTGGAGGGGCATACCCTCCTTACCTATTTCCAGAAATTATTAGGTGCAGGCTTGGCTTGCTGACTCCTGCATGTGTTGGAGTTTAACCAGCTACAACTGCATTCTTTGCCTTACTGCCTTGCTTGTCCAGCTCGGACCAATCTGCCCATTAAGGCTTTGGCTTGCTGGGTTAACAGCAAAAAGCAAAGTGGAAAGGAGACAACAGAGCAGAATCCCTGCCTCCTATGACCAGCTTGCCCTTCCAAGTATTCCTGGCGAACCAGGCTCAGTGATCGGTTATCAACAATGCCTTGGAGTACTGCAGATCCATTTGGTTCAGGAACTGGTTACTGAAATCAGCAAGAGGGTTGACATTCCGATTTTCTGGAAGAGTCAGCTCAGCCCACCGAAGACACCACTTATCTTCCCCCCCTCACTTCCCAACTGTGTACTCCGTTGAAACAAGCACAAAAAACGAGGTATAGTACTTGTTTACTGTTATGTGTTAGTCGTATAAAATATGACTTATACAAGTCTGCCTGTAACTCATACTTCACATAAGTCATTAAATGTCATGGTCCTGACTGATATGATTTATGCGAGTTTTACTGTACAATCGTGCTCATGAACCCAGACTCCTGGGTATTCTCTGAAGGTTAGGATTAAAGATACTTTCTTTAAAAGGCATAAGTTACTCAAATATCTAACAAGTGCTCTAACTCAATCTCTGACACTAGATTAAAAGGTGATGAAATGATGCATTCCCTAACATTGACATCTATCATCTTTAACAAAAAAAACTCACTGCAAAGGTTAAGAGCTTTCAGTCATGTAGTTAATATTTTTAAAAATTAAATTTTTTTGAAAACACCATTGTATCAGGTGTTTGATATAAAGGCAATGGAATTACTAAATCTAAGACTGCACAATTTTGTGAAAAGATATTGCATTAAACATTTTATTTCAAACCAGTCAGTCAGTAAAGACAACCCAAATAGCTGCATACCTGTGTGATATCTTCTAAAGGAAACTCTTTGCGAGTCAGGCTTGGAGAACCAATGGAAGGCTTCCTAATTGGTAAACGTGGAGACCTGGATATCTCCTGGCTAGCACGAGAAAGTTTGGGTGATTTTCTAGCATCAAGATTAATTCTGGTGAAAAAGGTCATGGATTAGTAAGCTGTTTAGCCAAATGGGCGAATACAATGAAAACGTTACAATATCTCCAGTGTTCTCCATTTTAAATAAACAGTGGAAACCTTTGACATACCTTGTTCAAAAAATTGTGCCTTGTGTTGTTTCCATGTACTTACATTTGTTTCATTAAAGACAATCATTTTTCAGTTTGTTTCAAGAAAGTTGAAATAATGAATGCAATATTTGAGAGAATGAATGGACACTCATTTTTAAATGGAAATGGGATGGTACTCAGTAGTACTGGGACATTAAGTCAAATGCTCACCATTATTTAAAACACTTCAAATAGTCTTCAGTTATACTTCTGCGTTATAACATATTGCTAGGCCCAAGTCGACTCTGAAAGTCATTATTCTATTTACTTGAATCCAAAATGCAGGCAGATTTTTGAGGGTTTAGGGCAAAAATAAACTTTACTTCAGTTCTAAGATTCCATCGATTTTAAGTTGCACCCTGCTTTTGGAGGCATCATCTAATGAAAAATTGTGTATTTCAGATTTGAGTAAATACAGTATTCAGTGCTTCAAATATTTCAATCAAACTAATGTGAACAGCTTCCTGCTGACAGCAAGCTGCTCATCATGTAAAGATTTTCTGGCACATTGTTGAGAGCAGACTCACTATGCAATGAGAAGGAAATAAATAAAGATAAGCAGAGTACTGCCTTGAGCTGAACTTCAACAGCTGTTATTAGGCACCCATTAATGGATATTGTACAAACATCTACTCCTTTGTGCAGTTCATGGTTCAGAAGCCAATCAAAGACTAGATGAGGATAAACATACAATTGGTATCAAAAGCACGAATTGATCGTTTTAGATGATTGGGTTGAAGGAATTTAAACAGGAATGCAAAGCATTAGATTTTACAGTTATATAAGCAACACTACCATCAATAAGATATAAGAACTTTTGAAACCTAATTTCTTTTCATCAACATTTCTTCTCATCGACTGTCAAACCCTGCACTTTGGAGTAGTTTGTGTACCTGGGCAATTTGGGGGACTTGCTTGCTCGGGAGATCTTTGGAGATTTCTTGCCAACCCAGTCATCGCTCAATTCTATGTCACTGGAGTCCGAGCAGTTACAGCTGTCAATAACTGTGGAAATCAAGCTGTTTCCATATACTTCATCTAACAGAAACATGAAAACAATTGAGACAGAAAACAATCTTTAATTCAAAAACTGTCCATAGTAGAATTTTCAGGAACAATACAAACTATGAAAATAACAACTATGATTCTCAAAAATACTTGGAAACAATTGTGAAATTGCTTATATTCTCCAAGAAGCTCAACATTATTTTACTGTAGAATATGTTGCTCATCTTGGGATCAAAGACTATGAGAAAGAAAATATGTTAAAGAATGGGGGGAAGGAGGAGAGTAATGAGAGAAAGAAAAGCTATCAGAGACAGTTAAAAGGTAGATGTAGCAACTACACAGACTAGAGAATTGATTCTCTTTTGGATAAGACCAAGTGTACTCTTATTAGTTACACCTCAGGCTGTGCACTTGGCAGGGCTCTCCCAGGTAGAGATGGCACAACCCAAACGTCCCCGTGATTTATTTGTGGGGAGGGGAGCTACAGCTAGGAAAGCTATGCCTTCGGCCCTGTTGGCAGGGATCAGGATCAGAACACCTGAGGAGTTTGATTTGCCCTCACACCAGGCTCAGACCTTTGGTCACCAGGCTCAGGCTAGACTCGTCTGGCCCAGAGGCAATCCAGTCACTTGACTAATTCGAGTGGTTGTGAGCAAGGAATCAAGTCCGGAATGTCTTTAGACCCAAATTTGGGGGAAAACGCTTGCCTGGGGGGAAACCTATGTTCCTGTCTGAGGAGCATGATTCGATTTAATTCAGCTTAGTGGGAAGTGAGTAGGGACAATTTTGCTCACAAAAACAGACTTGATTATGCTATTTAAGTCTGAATGGGATGGCGGGGGAGAGAGGAGAAAGAGAAAGTAACATACAAACCAACAACTCACAGGAGAAGAGAGGTGGGATGCCTTTTAAATAGAGTGAGGAGAATAAAGATCACAAAAGTGACATTCCAAAATTCAATGCTAATTGTCAAAGGCACATCATCTCTTGTGATTTTTCTCTCATCAAGAATTTACTCATTGCTGCTAGAACTTAGTAGTGTGTGTAGAAGAAGCCTGAAGCAAGAACATCACTTATAACATACACTTAAAAAAAATCTATTCTGAACATATTATTTAAGAGTAAATTATGGGTGAAGTGCAAAACAGACAATAGTTCAAATCTCAAGATGCTGTCAATTTTAAATCATATTATCTGAAAAGGTTCATACCTGCTTTACCGTCAGTTTTAGGATCCATGATGACAAATTCAGGTCGAAGTTTGCTTATCCTCCTTCCTTTTAAAATTGGCACTAAACCACCTAAGTATTCCAGATACAGTGTGTAGCACGGGCCTCCTACTTCAGGGTCATCTTCTGTACGTTTCATGGTGCAGTGTAGTCTTTCATTTCCTGCTGTCGGGTAACTGACAAAGTCCCGCATGTTATTTGGATCCGGGATGGGAGGCTAAATAAAGATATAGGCAGTACTTAATTCACAAGTATCATGTACTATTAATACCCATATTTAGTTGATGCATCAAAGTTAAAACACTTGAAGGATTGGTTTGTGCTCGTCAAAATGCCTACATGGGGGAGAGGGGTACGGGAAAGGGGATTAGGAGGGTTCTAGGCTCATGTGGTGTATAAATACCAGCATGGTTTAGATGAATGCCCAGTTCATGTGATGTGACAGTCTATGTAATTCTATGAGGAATGCCAGTGTGAAGCCATTTTCCATATATATGATGCAGTTTCAGCATTAAACACTAAGGCCCCATGCCCACCAAACTCGAATACAGGTACCAAAGTGCAACTTTTTATAGGATGATTAAAGTATCAGAGAAAAAAAGAATTTCATCCCACATGTTTGGGATGTATCCAAACCCAGCCTCTAAAACTGGTGTTGACCTACTCATTAAAAAAAGGTAGTTTTATAATAGGTTCATTTCCTTATTCACTCCAATGGCACTGGGATGAAGTCCCATAAGTTATTTCTAACATGTGGCAACTACTACAAAAAACATATGTACTGACAGCAATATATGGGCTTTTTTTCTCCACACTGTTAATTCAAATTGGTTCATTAAGTAAACTTGTGTAAATTGCTTGAGAATTTGAAATTCAGCTCCTTATTACAGCTAGATTTTTTTTGTTCATTTTTACTTCAAACTAAGTGGTACTGTATCAATCCAACAAAGCTTGAAAAATTAAAAGGCATAATTATTGTCAAATTCAAATTAAACAGGAATGAAAATAGCAATCCAAATTTAGGGAACATGTTAAAGATTAGCTGCAATTTTAAACAATAGTTTAAATTCATTGCATTGATGCAATATGACAAAATAAAGCGTGTACAAATGCAGTATCTCCTTGCAATAACAATTTCATAAATGGTCATTAGCAATAATTAGTATTATTAGGTAAAGCCTTAATGTATAAAATTATCTACATAATATTTTGTTTGTAAAAATATTGATTGTGGGTTGGATTACTCATCTAGTTGAGTTTTCTTCCTTCCTTTAACAGAAGGTATCTTTCACATACCACTCGGATGATCTCAGGTTAAAGTAAAAATTGCAAATATTTAAGATATCAACATGGAAAGAAAGTAGGGGAGTGGGAATAAAGAGACAGCTCTTACAAAGTGCTAGAATAGGCATGACGCGGTAAGTGACTTTCTTCTGTGCTGAAAATGTTTTTTGATTCTATGATCAATCCCACAGCTTTTTCCTTTTACAGCACAGAAAAGTGACAAAAGTTCAATGAATCAGCCATTCTCTTGAGAAATAACATATCAAGATACAAAATGTAAATACTTTGGGAAGACCTCACAACGTGAAACATTGATAGAATAAACAAATAGCTGAGATGGTTTTCTTTCCATCAATTGATAGCAACTGAGAATAGATTTAGTAATTTATATCTATTCAGCGATAGATAACTAATGTGTGACTTTCATAAAAAACAAAATAATTGTCTAGTTTACAGAAGTCCTTGACTACCTTTACAGAAAAAACCCATAACTAATCAACGTCAACACAATAAAAATCCATCTTCATCTCCAAAGAGCGAGATGACAGCAAAATAAGGGAACCTTGAGACAAACAGAACTTGAATGATGTTCATAAAGCTGCAATCTTCAAATAGCCTGCCACAGGAAGTAGTGTCAGTCCATCACCAGGAACTGAATAACCCGACAATATACTAACAAGCAGCAAATGGAACTCACATTTGTGCAAGTCCTGGTTACACAGGTTTGTATAAATCTCAGGTGGTTCCAGCATATTTGAAGTATAATTTGGGTGTGGATTCATTTTGTTGTTCATTTCATTAAACAGAAGCTGTACTTGCACCCTGACAGAATGCTGGGTTCCTAAATTTCTTCCATTTTATCACCAAATAATTAGCCATTGTTATAAAGACAACTCTAAAGTTTCTCATGTAAGCATGAAATCCAAAGCCAGAAAAATGACAGCAAATGAATGTCGAATTCAAGATCTTTGTCCTTACATTTTAGACCTCCATGCGTCTTGTCCCACCCTATCTCTGCGACTCCCTCAAACCCTCCCAACTAGCTGCTCCTCTGCTCTGCAGGCACTGGCCTGCTTCATATCCCTGCCCTTCCCATCCCACTGTTGGTGGTCAGGCCTTCAGCCTATTTTCCCTCATTCTCTGGAACTCCATCCCGCAGTCCCTTTGCCTCATCCCTACCCTCGCCTCCTTCTAGGTCTGTCTCAAGACCTTCCTGTTCGTCTTCCCACCTCCGCCCCTCACCCCCTGGGCCCTACCCCTCCTGAATCCAACCCGCTACCTCACTGTAAACCCTCTGCTGTCCAGCACCTTGGGACATCCTCCCAAAGTAAAAGGTGCTATATAAATGTAATTTGTTGTTGTCTGTGATTTGGCTGTTCATACGGCTATCAGATACACACACAGCGCATTGCTGCTGCGTGGAAGCTGTATAATTATCAGTGCACTGAAAAAGACTCCTTCACAGTAAGATCCTGTAATTACAATATACTGAAGTTCTCTCAATTTGTTTTTCCAGTGACCTCAATTAATGAGTTTTCTTGGATTTATATTTTTAATATTAGATCAACAACGTATTGTTAAAAATGGCTGCCCATGCAATGAGACAATCTGACTGTGTTAGTGGCCAAAGGTTACAGCAGGAAATGTGTATGACAATGTATTGTTTTTATGGAGGAAGTATACAGAGTGAGAATCATCACTGAGAGTACAGAAGCTATCTAGGTTCGCCTTGGTACAGAGCTTGAATTTGTCTCATTATAAAATACTGAAGATGAAAATAACATTCATTTAAAAAATGGGATCAATTAAGCCCAATTCCATCAACTCTGAAAGCTGCAGAGGTGTAGCCTAATATAGCATTGGGGAGGAAGTGATGCTATTCTGGAGGATTGTGAGATTATATTTGTGATTCCTGTTTTTAAGATTTTTAATTAGTATACTTTAACAAAATATAACCAAACACTTATAATCCATTTAGTATAGCATTCCTTACTTATTAGGGCACAGACAAGGCTATGGGTTTTTAGCAACTAACTTAGGGCTCCTGAGAGGGTACATGTGCCAATTAGCGTTAGCAAAGTTAAAGATATATTGGCTTGACCCCGGCTGAGTTCAGGCTCTGATAATTTTTCCTTGCTCGGTGCCTGGGTCCCATTGTCATCCTCCCATCTAAGAATTGAGTAATCATGCCCTTGAGCACAAATGTGAAAACAAGGGGGATCAGAGAGAAAAGCTCACTCTTAGACATCTGATTAGCTCAAGACTAAGAAACAGGAATCCTCACAATTAGCTGTCCATGTCTCTTTCTTCTTATCAATTTTTTTCCCATGCAAAAGAGCCCGCTCAAAGATCACTAGCTACCTGCAAAGGGTGGGGGCTATCTCTAAGACAAGGGAGGCGGAGTTAGAAACACATAAAAGATGTAACTTTGAAAAGTTGGAGTTATCGTAGAGGGTCAGTGCACTTCCCAGGGGAATCAATATTGATTCTACTGTATCTATGGTCTCAGTTTTAAGAATAAAGTTAAGCTATTTGGATTACTTAAAAAACCTTGGATTATTACACAACCATATTGGTCGTCTCCATCCTAATCTCTTACAGTGTGTATAGAATCTTCCCACAAAAGAGATTGAGAAGGTCTTAAGAAGGATGTCTCCACAATTCTGACCTTTGGAAAATGGGCATTATCTTAGTTGTATATATAGGAAGAATAAATACAATGAGCTAATCTCACATCACGCCTGCCTTAAGGACGGAACTGTTGATATTTTCTGAAATATTCAGCTCTTGAATAAAAGTTCTTGGATCTTTATGCTTTTCAGGGAGGGAAAAACCCAAATTACCTTAATTGTTGATACAAAGGCAGCAGTGAGGTATGAGCAAAGGCGAGGTGGCAACGTTAATTTACTAAAGTCTTTGTCATCCCGCAGAACTACAGCTATAGCCTGTTGACATAGCAATTGCAAGCTGGCGATCCTGTGCTCCACTCGAACAACATATAATGCAGTTCCAGAGGCAAGAAACAGACGCGAGTCACGATGGCCCCAGCAAATAGCTGTAATGTGACGCTGTGAAGATATAAACATACATTATTGTGGCACCACTTTACATATTCAATAGAACTTATAAAATATAGTTATTACTTCATTCAGAAGTGCATGGCACACAAGTTAGTCCAAAGGACGAAATAAAATCGTCTTCATTGAGAATGAAGAAATATTCAAGTACGAATCCCATTCCTGACAGCTGAAACTAAATTAATTAATTTAGACCATTTGACCCCCTTTTCTGCTTAAAGCAAACATATCATTTACTATCAGAAGCTGCAAAGACAAACCACAAGTTACCATACTTCCCTTGACAAAATCTCATGAGAAAGAGGCAAAACATGTATAAAGTAGTGCATTAAACACCAATTTTCTGCAAAATGACGATAGAGTTCTTTAAATCAGTTTTATTACCATATTCATAACACAATGACTGCTAAACACTGATACACTTTCCTACCTGCGTAGGACTTTCCAGTCTGTAAATGTGCTCCCCATGAATATTGTAGAATTTAACAACACCATTCCTCATTATAGGAACATTTCCTGGTTCACAAGATTGAGTCTGTCTTTCCATGCCTGCTACTGCTAACAAATCCCCCTGGGTGCTCCACTGTACGACCACATCTTAACATAAGGCACAAACAACACGTCAGAGCAGGTAATCAGCCATCATGAAACAAGAATAAAATGTTTATGTAGAAATATTCTTACATTACCGTTTGAAAATTTAGAATATTTCTAGAAAAAGGTATAAAGTTAAAGTCTTATGCAGACTTTAATGATGATTATTTAGACCTAATGCAAATACATTTACTATAAATAATTGGCCTGAAAACTGCACATGTGAATGCACATTACAATATATGGAAACAATTAATTTTTAACCATATATAATGGATATGGTTAACTTTGGATTTGATTTTGCTTCACAGCCACAGTAAAAAAGTGCACATTGTAAATTTAAAAAAGAAAAAATGTTGTATACATTGAGTGCATTACAAGTGAGACGTTTTGTTAAACAACTACATTTAAGATGAAGCAAAATAGAAACATTTTTAGGATTTTTTTCATGAATCAAACAATAAACATTCATTATGATTTCTGCTTAAAATACATCAGCTATTAACTGGAAAGTAACAAATTGTAGTTAAACATGCCAATGGTAGGTAATCGACATATTGCAGTAAGTATTGAAAATTGCCATTAAATCATTCTAGGCCTGAGGAAACAAAATACATGAATCACTCAATAATTAGGTAAGTTCTGCTGTTAACAAGCTTCAACAATAAGGTACAGTATTTCCACTCACTACTGAACTTCATATAATACAATATTACAATCTGAAAGCACTGTTAAAGAGGTATACTCCTACCACCCGCTGTGTGAAGAAATGTTTCCTTATTTCACTTTTAAACAACTTTAGCCTCAAGTTTAAGACAATGGCCTATAGTCCTCAATTCTCTTGCCAGAGGAACCAGTTGCTCACTATTCAGTATTTCAAATTCCCTTTATAGATTATTATGTTACTATCAATTAAAATATTTTACCATTGTTTAGAGAATGTTGAACAAGATTTAAATCACATCATGTTTTAGGACTATTTTAATATACTTACATGATGTATATATAGCATGGATACAAAATTGGCTGGGAGACAGAAAGCAGAGGGTATTGGTGAATGGCTGTTTTTCAGACTGAAGGGGTCGGTATTAGGTCCACTGCTCTATTTGATATACATAAATGGCTTGGACTTGGGTATAGAGAACAAAATTTTAGATGCAGGTGGCACAAAACTTAGGAAAGTAGTAAACAGTGAGCAGGATGGTAGCAGACTGCAGGAGGACATAGACAGACTGGTCAAATGGGCAGACACATGGCAGATGAAGTTTAATGCAGAGAAGTGTGAGGTGTTGCATTTTGGGAGAAAGAATGAGAGGTAATATATACTAAATGGTACAGTTTTAAAGGGGGGTTCAGGAGTTCTGGGGGTTCACATATACAGGTCTTTGAAGATGGCAGGACAGTTTGATAGAGCTGTTATAAAAGCATATGGGATCCTTGGCTTTATAAATAGAGGCATAGAGTACAAAAGGAAGGAAGTTCTGCTAAACCTTGATAAGTCCCTGGTTAGGCCTCAACTGGGGTATTGTGCTGAATTCTGGGCACCATACTTTAGGAAGAATATTAAGGCCTTGGAGAGGGTGCAGATGAGAATGACTAGAATGGTACCATGAATGAGGGACTTTAGTTATGTGGAGAGACTGGAGAAGCTGGGATTGTTCTTCTGAGAGCAGAGAAGGTTAAGGGGAGATTTAATAGAGGTGTTCAAAATTATGAGGGGTTTTGATTGAATAGATAGGGAGAAACTGTTTCCACTGGCAGGTGGGTGGGTAACCAGGGACAACGATTCAAGATAATTGGCAAAGAACCAGAAGTGTAAATGAGGAGAAATTGTTTTTTTGTTTTACACAAAGAGTTGTTACGGTCTGGAATGCATTGCCTGAAAGGTTGGTGGAAACAAGCTCAATAACAACTTTCAAAAGTGGATTGGATAGGTATTTGAAAAGGAAAACATTGCAAGGATATGGGGAAAGCAGGGGAGTGGAACTGATTGGGTAGCTCTTCCAAAGAGCCAGCACAGGCACGATGTGCTGAATGGGCTACTTCTGTGCTTTAATTTTCTATGATTCTATGTTTCAAAAGGACATTATGTCACAAAAATAGTTTGGAATGGAAAAATATAATAATAATCCTTGCAACTGATCACAGTGCCTTTCAGTTCAATGGGCATAGTTTCTTTTCAAATTGTGCCATCATTTCTTTAAGTTCACCTGAACAGGTAACAACAAGACTTTGGTTCAATGTCTCATCAAAGCACAGTGCAGCACTCCCCCCTGCACAGCATTGGAGTTTCAGCCTATACTATGTCACATCAAAGACTTGACGTGGGCTTGAACCCACAGCCATCCGACTCAGACGAGAGCACTACCAACTGCATGCATGATTATCACAAGTGTTACGTTGTTCCTCAAAGCGATTTTTAGCATTTCATGGAGGTGATACCACTAAGAGGATTATGCCAGTTGCCTTATCTAATTTTACTAAAACTGAAGTGCTCACCTTTTAAACCTGAGTGGATAACAGTGGGCAACAAGTCATCATAGTTGTTCATCATACTGATATCCCCAGATGTGAAGCTGACAGTTAGGAGTGGTTTTCTGTTTTGAATTGGCAATGTGTATACTGTTGGACCATCTGGAACAAAATAAGCACCAAACACACATCAATTTTAATTTAAAATAGATTTTTAGGCTGGTTTCCAAATTTCATGTTCAACTACTCCAAATGGCATTGATCAAAAACCTGATTAAACCAGTAGAATGATTTCAAACATTTTAAAAGTATGAAATAAAATTTACACTGAGGAGGAAGATCAATTTGTAGATTGCTTATTGTCCTATTATTTCCTATGTGTTGTGAAATGATAATAATCCTTACATTTGATGTAGCACCTTATCACATCTTCTCGACGTCTCAAAGTGCTTCACAGAATATACTGTTAAGTGAATTGACTGTATGCTTTGGGGGCAAACCACGGCAGCCAATTACACACAGCAGTGTTCCACAAATAGCCGTGGATTAAATTACCAAATTATTATTATTATTATTATCAAAGGGTTTATTACCCCCGGAAAAGCGATCTGCCAATTGTCTAACAACCGGGTTCCTACTTACAGCTAGGTAAACAGAGGAGTGTGGAGTAAGGAAACTTGCCTAACGTTTCGCCCTGCCTTGGAATCGAACCCAGGTCATCTCGCTTGTGAGGTGAGTTCTCTCACCACAAAGCTACAGGACTCCATGCATTGAACGTGGGTAACAGCAAAAATAATGACACAATGTCCAGGGTCAACCAATCTTTCTGGTATCCTTTGTGTAAAATATTCCTGTTGTCTGTTCTAAAATTGTCCTTCAAAACTCGGTGCCCTCTTCTCTTGCTGCCTTTGCATATCTGAAAATAGTGTTCAGGGTTTAATTTGCCTCTCATTTAACATTTATTTACCCCAATAAAAGTTTCACTCCCAAGATCTCTTTTCAAGGCTGATGAATGAGCCAAAGGATATATATTGTTACTTTTGCAGGCAAACATGGCAGTTATTTTACAAACAGCAATATGCCCCAAAAAACTTAAACAATACCATCCACCATAACATGGGATTTGAACCCTTTCTCAACCAGAGATTACTGTACCACCAACTCCGTCAGATGGAGACCTGTACTAATCAGGAAGCATGGGTAACTCTTTGATATCCCCCTCACAATATCCACATAAATTGGAACTGGCCGAATTATGGATATGAAAACAGTGCAGATAAAGTCAATGTGGGTTTACACATATGTGCGCTGTGTGTGTCTCTCTCTCTATGACTGTGTATTTGTGTCTCCTTAATCCTGTACTGAATTGGAATGGATCTCCCTACCTTCAAATTTCAGTTTTGCTCAGATAAATCACCAATTTGGTAACCTTGTATGCAACTAAATCTTTTGCCAACATCGCAGCTTATCCACATTGAGCCAGATGAAGATAAATGGCCATGTAGATAACCAGGATGCAATGTGCAATTCTATAGTATCTAATGTTTTTCTTACAATTTAACACGGTACAGATTCAAGGTACAGAACAAAAAGTTCCATTTATTCCTATACAACAGGCACAACTATAAATATAGGAATACAGCAATCCGGCAAATGTTCAGTGTTGACAGAAAATATAGCAACTGTGAACAGCTGTCAGATTACGAATGTCATTTTCTATACATGTATGAATACCTTGTGGCGGAGAATAGTCATCTGAGTCAGTATCACTCTCACTGCTGTCTTCCACCAGAAAACTTGGATAGTTCCAAGACATTCCCAGGATACCATCAGATTCATGAAGTAACACGTGAGCCAACATACGTCCATGGCAATCCATCACTATCACTTGGCCATCAGCTGTACCAAAAAGTACCTGCAAAAGAAATAAATAGTAACTAAGGTAAGAAAATGAAAGTACATACTGGAAGTTTTATTACAAAGCAAGTTTGAGATAATCGGTTTGGAACAAAACCACATCATTGCAGGTAGGTGCTGGGAGTGAGCCAGGCACAACCCCACAAACTAAGCAGGATTAGAGGGAAAAGATCATAGACATGTTACCTCCAGATACTATCATAGCAGATTCAGAACAGCACAAGAATGTGAAAGAAAGTAATTCCACATCTTTTTTAACCGTGGATGTGTGTGCGACCCAAGTCAAGCGAGGGGAAAACATTTGAAAGAAAAGTATTCAATTGGACCTCAATTCATTTGACATTTGTGAGAGGAGTTGATTTTATGCAAGGGTTTAAGTTAAACAATGAACCCAGACTTTCCCAATTACCTGACTTTCCCCTCTCAGCTGTAATCAATCCACTCCTACCTTTCCCTGGAGATGTCCCTCCCATCTGGGTGTCAAACAAAATAGCCTTGGCCAAAAAACACCAATGATTGATTTTATTCTCCCCTGTCTGTACCCAGGGCTGTCAATGTGTCCCTGTCCTCATTGACCCCTCTAAAGCCTTCAATCCCTCCATTCCTCTCTACCATCTTTCCTCCCTGGTCCACCACTTGCAGCTCCGCATTTTCAAGGTTCCATTCTTGTCTATCCCAACTGTTTCACTATATCTCTTCTAACAGCTTCTCCTCCTGCCTCCACATGGCTACTTGCTGATGCTCTACACAGATTCAATGCATATCCACTCCACAATTCAGCAAACAAATGGCATCCGTGGAGTAAAGTATTTGGTTTCATCATAAAAGTTGCAAACAGCCATCATGTATAAAAATTACATTTGGTATAACATGAGCTAAACTGAGCTCCTGCGGTGAATTCTTCGGAAGTATTGTACTATTCAAATTAACATTTTAATTTTAAACATAACTACATGTTCAGGAAATATATGTCTATAGATTTAATCTGGGTTGTTTCACAAAATGAGTCTCTCAATAGCACTAATCAACCCTCCAAAATGTTCCGCAAAATTTGTCAAATGTCCTGTAATTTTTGGCAAATATTTCTGCGCTTTTCTATTGGCCCAGGTTATAAGCAAAAATAGCAGACTATCACACACAGCAATGTCCCACAAACAGCCATAAAGCGAATGACAAATTTTATCTGAGAGAATTGTTGGACAGGGCAGCAGGAGAAAATCCCTTCTTTTTTCCAATAGTATCATAGGATCTTTAATATCCACCTGAACAGGCAGACCGGATTTTGGTTTAATGTCTCATCCGAAGGACAATGCAGGACACCCAGAGAACTGCACTGGTGTCAGCCTGGGTTGCAAGTTCATAGTGGTACTCAAACTCTACCAGAAAATATCCAGGAACACAGTATGGGGAACAGCACACTTTCACAATTATACTACTCCAAAACATGATGAATGTTTATGATGTATTACAATGTGCTACGAGAACTGTAGCTGAGACCATTCTTTAAAGTTGTTTTTAAAACGAATGAATTTCAAATATATAATAAAGTGACACAGCTCATATGGTAATTTTTTAAATTTTAATTCCCTCAAAGTCAAAATATCCCATGAAGTAATTTTTTGGTTCTCTTGTTGACAGGCAATATTAGACATTAACAGATAATAATAATAATAATCCTTGCATTTGATATAGTGCTTTTCACATCTTCTAAACGTTTTAAAAGCGCTTCACAGAATATACTGTAAAATGAATTGACTGTATATTTGTGGGAAAAACGCAGCAGCGCACAGCAGTGTCCCACAAACAGTTGTGGATTGAGTGACCAAATTATTATTGTATTTTTTTCTTGAGTGATTATTATATCAGGAAAAGCCATCCGCCAATCGAATAACAACCAGGTTCATACTTACTGCTAGGTAAACAGGCGTGGAGTAAGGAAACTTGCCTAACATTTTGCCCTGCCGGGAATAGAACCCAGGTCTCTCACTTGCAAGGCGAGTGCTCTAACCACTGAGCTACAGGACCATAGATGATATAATAGTACCTGTTGATCATCAGGTGTCCATATTCCACAGGTGATCTGGCTGTCCAAGTTAATCTCAGAGGACCAGTGTCGCTGTCCACTGACGGATCCAACCAACACAAATCCATCTCGATAAGATATGAGTGCTTGCGTTCCATCATGGCTCCAGGTAAAGTCACTTACCTAAATGAAAAAATATAAAAATTTCCAGTTAGAATATTATTTCCTTAAGTATTTTGTTGCCAAATCCGAATTTTATTTGCACAATTATGGTTTGACCTGCTCCCTCAATCCCATCCCTACCCCTCTCCTTGCCTCCCAGTCCACCTCCTTACCCCTCTACTCAGACATCATAAACCTCTCCCAGTCCACTGGCACCATTCCCACCCCTTTAAAAACGGCTGTCATCACTTCTATCCTTATAAAACCCTCCCTGGACCCATCCCTGTTTTCAAATTACTGCACCATCTCTACGATCCGTTTCCTTTCCAAGGTCCCAGAACGAGTCATTGCTTCCCAGCTTCACTCCTTCCTCTCCTGCCACTCTCTTCATGAACCCCTCCAATCGGGTTTCCGTGCCGCCACAGCACAGAAACAGCTTTGGGCAGTGACAAATTATTTTGTCCATCTGCAACCAGGGCTCCCTTTGCTGCCTCGTTCTCCTTGATCTCTCTGCTGCCTTCAATACCATTAACCACTCTATCCTCCTCCACTGCCTCACCTCAACCTTCATGGTTCTGTCCTTAAATGGTTCGGATTGTACCCCTCACACCGCCTCCACTTCATCCCCACTAAGGGTTTCTCCGTCTCATGCGCCGTTCCTCAGGGCTCTGTCCTTGGTCCTCTCCTCTTCAGTTGAACATCAACACGACTGAGGCTTTCCTGATTGGCTCCTCCACTCCTCAGGCACTGGCAGCATCATATTCCAAGAACGCACACTCCACCTCACTGAGCCAGTCTTGAACCTTGGCATCTTGTTTGACCTTCAATTATCCTTTCTACATCACATCCGTGTCATGACCTGGCACCGCCACGTCACACCGCAGGCCGCCGAAAATCTCATACATGCATTCATAACATCCAGGCTCAATTATGCGAAATCCCTGCTTGTCGGCCTGTCCAACTCCTCCCTCCATAAGCTGCGGATCACCCAGAACTCTACAGCCTGTGTCCTCTCCCTCACCAGGTTCCATGACCCTGTCACCCCCATCCTTGCTCGACTCTACTGGACTCCACTCAAATGTAATTTTGTTGTTGTTGAGTCAACTCCATAAAATTGCATTATTTCCTGCACAAATTCAAGAATCCCAATAAACATATCGTCTGACACAATAATCTGTCAGATGATATATATATTTGACCAGCCTTCTTCAAAAGAACATTTTTGAAGAAAGCTGATTTTTGATATGTGTCGCTTTCGAAATTACAACCAACACAAGCCACTCATTTTGAATTTTGTTATTTTGATTAAATTTTAAAAATTACCTGGGCTCCACGATCATTCACCAGCTCAACAGACCATCTGCCTTCATACTGGATCCACACAAAGATTCCTCCATCTGCATCACATGTCGCTAGTTTTTGAAAGGGTTCATTCCATCGTACAAGTACTACCTGAAAACAAGACGGTAACAGTAAAAATGACAGGGGAAAATGACAGTTTGCAATAATCAGAACTGAATCTGAAATAAAAAATTAGCAAAAAGCTTTAGAGATTTTAAATTATTGTATCGGGTACTAGGACCGCAGGGCAAAAACGCTCAAGGTGTGGAGCCTGTACCTTCTTCAGGAGTGATGACATTCCATGTCTCTTGCGTTCTGGGCTAAGAAAGTTGTGGAAACCCTGGCTGACTCAGGGCCAGGAAGCATGAGGCGGAGGCCATGTGGCTGGCCCGAGGTTGGTTAACAGTAAGAGCAGACTAAGAGGGGCATTACAAGTGCATAGGTTTGTAAGAGGGGTGGCAGGCACCAACTGTGAGCCCTGCTGGGTTTTGTTCTAGGTCTTCTCCCCCCCAACCCAACTGTCATGCTTTTTTAAGGCAGATTTACAGGAAGGTCCTCATCTGAATCAGTCCCAATTGTACTCTTCAACATCTAAGTCAACATAACACTCCATACAACAGCTTGTATTTATACAACACCTTTTGCATTCAAAGCGCTTTACAGAGGAGTGTAACTCCTGACTAGGATGCGAAATGGAGGTGACTGAAGTTGAAAGTTTCGTTAAGAAAGATTTTGAAAGCCGAGAGATTTGATTTGGTCAGATGGGTGTCGGACACAGTCTTGTGACAGTCAACTGCTCCTCCAGTCAACCGCTCCTCCCAGTACATATGAACATGTACTCATATGTCCAAAGCTTGGTTCTCAGCATGACTGGAATGTGGAGAGGTAAACAGAGTTACACAAGCTCCGTACCTCCAATATGTAGAACTGTCACTCAGTGGGTAGGGAAGTGTGCGGCAGGAGGATGGTGATCGTCACACATTTCATTTGCTGAGCTGTGCTGCTCACCAGGAATTTCAGAGATCTCCTGGTACCTCCTATCCACCTAGTGAGGGCTCAACGTGAGCAGATATTTACCCACTCAATTGGAACTCTTTCATTCTGGTTTGGACATTCAAGCATGGTGATGGGTTTCTGTATGTGTCAGACACCTGGGCTGACCAAACAAGTTAATCTAGGGGAGTGGATGGGATATAACGTTATAAGCCAATTCACCCCCAAGTATCTTTGCTATGGGACTCAAGGAAGGAGATCCATTGTACAAAGAGGCCTTGTCTGCTGAGTGAGAAAGCGTTTGTGTAGCTGAACTTTAGAGATTAATAGAGACACAAATACACTGTACCAGAGCTTCGGGGACTCTTGAGTGAGAGTATAAGAGGGCTGCAGGATTCTGTAGTATTCAAATAAAGCTGCAGTAAACCAATAGCCTAAAAATAATTACTTTGGACTTTGACTATGAGAAGATAAGACTTTGTAACATTAATCATTTGCTCTCTTTCAAATGTGTCTGTTTATAGGTTCATATGGTTTGGATACCTGTATTATTTAAGTACATTTTCTTTGTTTAGGGCTTTAAGCTGCAGTACTAAATGTCTAAATGTGTCTGATGTCCAATATGAAGTATCAGACATAGAAACACAAGTCCAATTGTAGCACAAACTGGATAACTAAAATCACAATTTTACCAAAGCATCAAGAAGAACACTAATAAATGACAGGAGGAGGACCTGAGTAGTGCAGTGTATTCACACACTGATCAGAGGGAGAGAGTTAAAGGTAAAACTTGAGGTAAAGTTGCATTTATTTGTAAGAGTCTGATACTACATCACATGGAAACAATTCATGAGTTTTCCTTGCTCCACGCCCAGCAGTACTGATTATCAGCTGCTTTAAAGCTCTGGAATCAGCTGTTTGTAGCACTGTACAGAAAATACCAGCAGCATAACTGACCGTTTGTCTGAATGTCACTGCAGAGGGCAGAAAAACAACTGTACAGTGCACTCAGGGTCATAAATGGTAATTAATTTGTACAAGAACCTTACTGCTAGAAATACACATACATACATAGTCATAAATGTAGAGGTGTGTGCTGCTAGAGCTACAGTCATGTTCAAAACAGTTTCTTGAAGTAAGAAATCCATTTGAGCACAATCAGAAAATCCGGGTAAAAAAAAAAGTAATGATTATGCAAGTCATGAAAATTTGCACTTTACAATCATTCTTAAAAAAAAGGGCTCATTCAATCCCTGACTTTTTATGGGACACTGCTGTGCGCAATTGGCTGCCGCATTTCGCCCACAAAAATATACAGTCAATTCACTTTACAGTATATTCTGTGAAGCGCTTTGAGACATCTCAAAGACGTGATAAAGCGCTATATCAAAGGCAAGGATTATTATTATGCTTAGTAACTTCATTTACTCAACAGCAAAATATTTCCGTTCCAACTGATTTTGTCAATTAAGAAAAAGGACTAGGGACATTTATTGCTACAAAATTCAATCCTTGTAATAATAGTTCTCTCACCGAGACACTATCTTCCGTGAAAGGCCACAATATACTGCAAATGCGGTACGACTTGATTCAAACATTCTGTTGCCAAGAGCATCACCCCGAGACAACTCAGCTACAAGGAGACCACACTTATCTAACCCCCATGGAGAACGGTCATTAGTTCGTCATTTGACATCCAACACGTGCAGGTTTGAGCCCTTACTACATAGATAGCAGGTACCAAGAATTTCCTGTAAGTTTTCTAAAGTGTGTTCCTCAGAATGAAATGTATAAGAGCATCATAACCATCCTCTTGTTCACAGGTCAGATACACATCCCTACCCATTGAGTGATTGTTCCACCAGTTGCAGAACTTGAGTATCAGCTGCTTTCCAATATAAGTGAATACCAAGAGTTGGATATGAGTGTGTTCACAAACTCGGACTCCAAGTAATGCGATTTTTTTGGTCAGCCCAGTGTCTGGCACATGCGGAAACCCATCACCATGCTTAAGAGTATCCAAATCACGCTGAGATTTCCATGGATCTCACATGGAAATCCCAGAGATAGATTGTTGGATTGGATTGCACGCTCTCTCCCTGGAGGGATGAATCCTGTTGACCTAATTCTGGAAAGTATTAGGTACAGGTTGGCAAGAGCCAAGGCTTGGGGACCCCAGAGTGTGGGTTGGGGTTCTGCTGGAATCTGACCAGCTGCAACCATTGATATTGCTGTCCATCAAGCTTTCCCGTTGCTTGTCCAGCTGGGACCACCCTACCCGTTAGAGCTTTGGCTTTCAGGATTAACAGGAGCTCAGCATGATGACTCCCTGACCGGCCTGTCCTACCGGGCCCTGCCGATGAGCCAGGCTGGTTGTGCTGTCATCAGCAGTGCCCTGGAATACTGCGGACCCGTCTGGCTCAGGAATCGGACTAGCGAGACCGCCACAGAGGGTTGGCTTCATTCCAACATTCCACTGCCAGGCATGTCACCTTGGAGCCAGTTCAGCTCCAAGGAGACCCCACTTAGAACCATGCCCTCCCCAAGGAGGATAGTAATGTTTTCCAGCACTGTCGTTCCAGTCTGAATTTCCTCATCAGCTATTCAACAAATATCTGCCTTCAGTATGGTGGTAGGATCTTTACAGGATAGGACTTGTGGAGTTCAGTCGCTCAGTGGTTAGAGCACTACCCTTGCAAGTAAGAGACCTGGGTTTGATTCCCGGCAGAGTGAAACCTTGGGCACACGCCTGATAATAATCCCTCAAGAAAAAAAACAATAATAAATTGGTCACTCCAATCCATGACTGTTTGTGGGACACTGCTGTGCGCAAATGGCTGCTGCAGTTCGCCCACGAATATACAATCAATTCACTTTACAGTATACTCTGTGAAGCGCTTTGAGACGTCTCGAAGACATGAAAAGCGCTATATCAAATGCAAGAATTATTTATTATTATTACCAGCCACGTTGATGTTGGAGGTCCAAGTCCAATACCACAAACTAGGCTTACCACTTAATCCACATCTTTGGGTACTTAAAACACCCTGTGTGGCATTTTTGTGGATTGGGTTGCAAATTATTATTACAGGAATTGAATTTATTTTTTTCCAGTGGCTAATACAGTACTGTGAAAGTTCTTTCTGGATAATAACAGATGTGTCGTTTATCGGTTGAGATATCAAATTAAACCACCGATTGCTGCCAAAAAGGTAATAAAAGTCATCAATGTTCAACTTAAAGGCCCTCTTTTTAAAAAAAACACTGATGAATTAGTCAAACCTGGAAACTCCAAACAGGTTTGTGCCAAATTGTGCATATCACAACTGAAGCAGGTTGTAATTAAGGCTCACAAGCCTTAATTTTTATATTTATATTTTACACATTTAAATAATTGGTCACGGAATTATAAATTTAAACTAGTTTGCGACAGTGCAATGTTGGGGAACTGCTTTATGATCTATTCTAATAGCAAATTTTATATCAAAGTAAAATAATATCCAAATAAAGGTTTGTCCAAAAGCATTGCAATGTTCTTTTCATGTGTGTGATAGCTTCTCAGTACTCATGATTCACCAACTGCCATCATCACGCAGTCATTTATCAAAACCCATGGCTAAGGTCGTGCCTTATGATTCTATCAATTTTTTTAAAATCAATAATCCATTGGAAACACATTGTCCTATAAAAACAATGTCAGTGAATTAGAACACTAGGCTTTTATTTCTTCTTGGTATATGGCTATGAATCGAGCCTAGATTTATGGAAGAAAGTTCCTCTCTGCAAGTTGTGTGGGTTCCAGTTTTGAGAATTCAGCAACAGCACATAAGTGACCGTAATTCAGTACTCGGGAGGGGTTGTATTGTGTGTGTAGTAAAGTGTGTTTTATCCTGTACCAGAAGCATCTACCAATTTTTTGCGAATGACCTTTTTTTAAGCGGAACTGTCGGTCAGGACACTGAGAAACTTCGTTCTCATGGCACTGTTAGAAAACAAATCTTTAATGTCCCCCCTCAATAGGCAGTCTCAGGCTCATCTGAAGGATGGCACCTCCAACAATGCAGCAAACCCCCCAACACTGCACTAGTATCAATTTAGATTGTACGAGTTCCAAGTCC